TTTGCCATTTGGCAAAACAGAAACGTTTGCCTTTTCCTTCTAGTTCTTCTGTCAATCCCACTGTGTTTGGTTTGTTACATGTGGATATTTGGGGGCCTTTGAGCACTCAATCTTACAACAGCTTTAGCTACTTCTTGACCATCGTTGATGATTGTAGTAGATGTGTGTGGACCTACTTAATGAAAACTAAAGATGAAACCAGAAATTTGCTTCAATCCTTCTGTGTTATGGTTGAGAATCAGTTCCAAAAATCTGTCCAGATTATTAGATCAGATCAAGGACAGGAGTTTCATATGGATGAGTTTTACAAGTTGCATGGGATTGAGCACCAGATGAGTGTGGTTTACACTCCCCAACAGAATGGGAGAGTAGAGAGGAAACACCAACATCTCCTCAATGTTGCTAGGGCTCTCAAGTTCCAGTCAGGCCTCCCATTGTCATACTGGAGTGAGTTTGTGCTCCATGCTGCCTACCTTATCAACCGTTTACCTACCCCAGTTTTGAGCAACAAATCACCCTTTGAGATGTTGTATGGCTTCCCTCCAGACTATAGCACTCTTAGGGTGTTTGGTTGCCTTGTTTATGCCTCCACTGCAGGACCCCATAGAACAAAATTCACACCCAGAGCCAAACAATGTGTGTTCTTAGGAATCCCAGTAGGCATCAAAGGGTTCAAGTTGCTTGACCTTGAAACCAAAAGAGTATTCATCTCCAGGGATGTTCATTTTTATGAACTTATCATCCCTTATGCAACCTCATCCTCTCCTGACCCTAGTCTTTCCTCAACTGATTTCTTCTCCACATCTACTTCTTTTCCCATACCATCTACCACCTACACACCAAATCAACCAACTCAACCCACTGACACCCCAGTTTCAGTAGATCATCAGTCTGCAGGGGGCATTCACACTCCCTTTCCCTCTTCTTCCACTCATCCTGATGATCCACCACACACTCCTGCCATTTCCCCTATTCCCTTTTCATTACCTTCTTCCTCAGCTCCCTCTACATCCCATTATTCCACCCCTGTCACCTTCTCACCACCACACTCATCACCTACTCCACCTCTTGCCCAAAAGAAACCCACCAGAACAACTAAACCACCCAACTGGCATGATGATTATTATGTCCAGTACCCCATTAGCAAAGCCATGTCCTATAGCCACCTTTCACCTAAACACCAACACTTCATTAACAGCCTTGCTACCTACACTGAACCAACCTCATATGAGGAAGCTATCAAAGATCCAAACTGGAATAAGGCAGCACAGGATGAATTGAAGGCTCTTTGTGACAATGGGACATGGGAGATCAAATTTCCACCACCAGGAAAGAAGATCATTGGAAACAAATGGGCGTGGAAGTTGAAGTTAAATTCTGATGGAACAATAGAGAGACATAAAGCAAGAGTGGTAGCTAAGGGTTTCACCCAAATCTATGGGATTGACTACTGTGACACCTTTTCACCAGTAGCAAAGTTGAGTTCTGTGAAAACCTTACTAGCAGTAGCAGCTACACAGGGGTGGCACTTACATCAAATGGATGTAAGTAATGCCTTTCTAAATGGGGATCTAACTGAAGAGGTCTATATGGAAATTCCACCTGGTTTGGATGATCAGGCAGCTAAAGAAGGGAAAGTTTGTCACCTGAAAAATTCAATCTATGGCCTTAAGCAAGCAAGCAGACAATGGTACATGAAGCTAACAGAAAGCTTGTTAAGACATGGATTCAAACAATCTGCTTGTGATTATTCCATCTTTACTGCTCAGATTCTTGGAGAGTTGGTTGTGCTCATTGTTTATGTGGATGACATATTGATTGGGAGTATCAGTTTGGAGGCAATCAACAAGACCAAGGGTTTACTAAAGGGTGAGTTCAAAATGAAAGATCTGGGGGAACTGAAGTTCTTCCTTGGATTGGAAGTTGTTAGAGGAGTAAAAGGGATCACTATATCCCAGAGAAAGTATTGTCTTGATCTTTTAACTGAATCAGGATTCAAAGACTGCAAGCCAGCTGCCACTCCCATCTATGTGAAGGAAGTGCTATCAGCAGAGGGAGGTGTTCCTTTGAAGAACATTGGTGAATACAAACACCTGGTAGGCCAGCTGCAGTACCTTACTACCACTAGACCTGACATTAGCTTTGCTGTGCAGCAACTATGTCAGTTCCAGGACAATCCCACCTCCCTGCATCTAAGAGCATTACATAGGGTTCTCAGATACCTAAAGAGCTCACCAGGTCAGGGATTACTTTATCCAAGGGAAAATACTCTTGCTCTTACAGGGTTCAGTGACTCAGATTGGGCAACTTGTCATGATTCAAGGAAATCTATCACTGGCTATTGTACCTTCCTTGGCTCAGGAATTGTCACTTGGAAGAGCAAGAAGCAGAGGACAGTTTCGAGATCGTCTTCTGAAGCTGAGTACAGGGCTTTGGCTAGCCTGAGCTGTGAAATTGAGTGGTTGATCAGGTTGTTGAAGGACTTTGGAGTCACACATGAGCATCCAGTCAAAGTCTACTGTGACAACCAGTCAGCAATCCACATAGCCGAGAACCCAGTGTTCCATGAAAGGACGAAACATATCTATGTGGATTGCCATGTGATCAGAGAACGTGTTCAATCTGGTTTGATCTCTCTTCACCATATGCCAACAGAATCACAGCTAGCAGACATTTTTACTAAAAGTCTACCGATTGATCGCTTTGCTCTTTTGTTATCCAAGCTGGGAGTATATGATCTATACTCGCCAGCTTGTGGGAGGGTAACAGAGAGAACTGATGATCCAACTTGTAGCAGCCTTGCTGTGAGAAGGAATGAAGGCTCTGCTGTTGCTGAGGAACAACGAAGAATGAAGAACAAGGCAGAGCCTCAAGCGGCGCCGTTTACAAGAGAAGAAGAAAGGAAGCAAAACGCAGCGTTCGGGCTAACAGCCTAGCTTCCGGTTTTACTGTGCAATTTACACGTGTATAGCTTTGATAGGTTTAATTCATTTGTTAGTTTTAGTTACCGTTAAGATGTAATTAGCTGCTTGTATATATATGGTTTTGATGATCAATGGAAAGCTCTAACGAGCAATTTCCCCCAAAACTCTGATTCTTCTCATCCCTCCCTCACATCTGTGGAAAATCGCCTCCCTCCCTCCCTCGATTATCTCCTAACTCCTCTCTCTCTCTCTCTCTCTCTCTCTCTCTCTCTCTCTCTCTCTCTCTCTCTCTCTCTCTCTCTCTCTCTCCCTCTCTCTGCTCTTTCTCACTCTCCCTCGTCTTACCCAGAATATGATGCCGGTGCGGCGGCGGCGGCGACGGATGAGGCCAGTGCGGTGGCGGCGGATGAGATGCTGCGGCGGCCCAAAGCTTCCCTAGTCTCCGCGAATCCGTCACCGCGAAGCCCTCCTCCCGGGTTCTCCAGTTACGGCCGCTCCGGCGGCCCTCCTCCCGGAAGGGGTCGGGATGATTTCAACGATGGCGGGTCCTGGGGTGCAGGTGGCTGTGATTACGATGATGAACGCCGGCCCTCCTCTCTGTAGATCTGCTTCTTCTTCTTCCTGTATTTGGGTTTTTTTTTTTTAAGATTTGGGAATGGGATTAATCTGGACATATTTTGGAGAAGGTGAAAGTGGGTTTCGGTTGGCCCGGTTAGTCGGATAACCGCGGTTAATTACCGTCGGTTACTCGGCCAACCGACCCCTACCTTTTCCCATCCGACCACCGACCGTCGAAGTAACCGGTCGGTTTTCGGTTAGCTGGTAACCGGCGGTTTTCGGTTAAAACCGGCGGTTACCCGCAAACCGAAATGCCAGCCCTAACAAAAATACGCAGCAATAACTTAAAATAAACAACATATGTTTTTTTCTTATTTTCGGTTAGTACCGGCCATTTTTTTTTATGAAACTGTTGATACCTACATCAAGCATTAGTTTCAATTAATTAGAACATGAATTAAGCAAATAAAGTTGAAAAAACATGCAAATATCATTCTTAAAAGCAATTTGGCAGTACTTGGGTACAGTTGAAAACCTACCACTGTTATTTTCAAGTGGTCTGTCTGGCCGTACGAATTATTAAAGAAATTGTTAGCATTATATAGTTCTACGGTAACCAGAGTGAAATCTGAGGTACCGCATACTTTGATTAAGAAAACACTATTCAAAATTTGAATTGATTGATTTTTCGGACATGATATTATACTATAACCCTTAAAGATCAAAATCTAGGTCTTAATTCTCTAAATCTTATACCCCAAGATCAATTTAATTAGAAACAATAATCGACGGTTATGATTCATCCAATAGGCAAAAAAATCAATGCACCATCTTAGGGTTTATAGTTTATGATTTAGATAATTAGGACCTAGGGTTCACTCATTAATGGTTAGGGTATAATATCATGCCCAAAAATCCTCCTAATTCGAGGTCTAGATAGTGTTTTCATACTTAAGATATGCGGTACTCCGAATTTCACCCGGGATACCGTGTATATATATATATATATATGGCATCAATTAATATATACAATTGCCCAGTTAAGTTTTTTACTTAAGGTGAGCATGATATTAAAAAAAAGCATAAGACAAACTTTACTGCTGATGTTTATAATAAACCACGACATGTTACGAATTTCAAAAAAAAGTTCTAAAGTGTGTAAATCATCCAAACAAATTAATATCACATACGTCGCCGTTCAATATATCCTAAAAATTAAATCATCATAATTAATTCATCACTCATTTTACTTTAAAGCCTGTTCTTCATGTAGTACATTTGCGGCATTTAAATTTTCAATGCTTGGATAGACAAGCAACAACGTAAATTTTACAAGTCGATAACTAACAAAAATTCGAGAGGGTTTGTTAGTTGCTTTTAATTAGAGAGGTGAAATGGAAAGTAGAAAAGAATGTGGAAACTAAGAATTAACAATTCATGGGTCTAGATAAAACAACTTGAGGACAAATGCATTTCACAAGATGTCTAATTCACTTGTTGGAAAATACAAAACTTAGATTTCAAATCTGGTTTATATTTACCTATAATTTCTAGGAGTGCTTACAAATTCAAGAAAAGTCCCATGAGCTCCCTCCGCCATTGTACATATATGCTTTTTTGCATCGTTTAACGACTTATAGCTAGAACAATTATCTTTCATGCATGACACTTAAACTGAGCCAATTGAAGAATATATTTTTTTTTATTATCTTAGTGGATAAGATTATTCTGATTCCTCATTTGGTAAAAGTACGATGGTGAGTGATAGGAACCAAAACCAGATCAGTTTTCCTTCGAACAGCCACACCAAAGCTCTCAGCCATGTCAAGGTCTTGGTTTCTCTTCCCGCCGGGAAGCTCCCAGTCGAAATGGTACAACAACTTGGCCACCGGCAGCTCAATGTTGGCCATCGCAAACGATGCTCCAGGACAGCTCCTCCTCCCAGCTCCAAAAGGGATAAACTCAAAACGATCCGTCTCGACATAACTCACATTTTTCTCGTGTAGAAATCTCTCCGGAACGAACCTTTCCGAATCGCTCCAGTACCTCGGATCCCGACAAGTCGCCCAAGCGTTGATTCCAACTATCGTGTTGCTCGGTATGTCGTATCCAGAAATCTTGCAGCTCTCGCGACTTTCCCTCACGATTAACCCCACCGGCGGGTGGAGCCTCATTGCCTCCTTGATACAACATTTTAAGAAATGAAGATCTTGAATCGCAGTCTCTTCATCTACATCTTCACCTCTGGTATCGAAAACTCGTCTCACTTCATCCTGTACTCTTTTCATCACGGAAGGATTCCTCACTATTTCGGACATTATCCAGCCGATCGTAGCTGACGATGTCATGCTCCCAGAAACCAACATGTCCTGCAAAACTCGAAATACAATTTTGACATCGTTCATTAATATTTCATATTTTTTTTGTCAATAGTCAAGTCAACATACATGAAAATCCAAATTTCCTACCAAGAGGACCGCTTTAATGTTGTCGTCGGTCAGAGAAACGTCGAGGTCATCATTCTTTTGCAGCTTCAGAAGCACATCCGCCAAATCCTCCCTTCCATCATCGTCATAAAAACTATAACTCCTCTTCTTCCTGTGGTCATCCAAAACATCCTCAAGAACCCTATCCGCCCCACGAACCACCCTATTCAATTTAGGGCTCCACAACTTGGTCATCTTCTTCAACATTATTCCCCCATTACAAGAAAACATGTCAGCCACTCCCAACCCCGACGCCAACTCCATAATATCCGACGTCAGCGCCATCAAACCCTCCACGTCATACTTCCTCCCAAATGCGGCCCTCGACGTCACCCCGCAGCTCAACTCGAACACCAACCTGGTCAGGTTAACGGTCCGACCACAACTCGACCGAACCGACTCCATCAGACTCTCGACCTCCTGGCTCCGGATCGAGGCGTACGACCTGACCCGGTTCGGCCCCAGGAGCGCCACCTGGCAGGTCTTGCGGACGTGGCGCCAGTAGGCCCCGTAGGGCGCGAAGAGGACGTTGGAGCAGTCGTAGAAGATGAAGGAGGGGAAGACTAGAGGAGCTCTCTGTGCGAATGTTATGTCGTTTTCTTTGAGAACTTCTCTGGCGAGCTCGGGGGTGGAGACGACGACGATGGTGATTCGGCCGAACTTGAGGCGGAAGAGAGGGCCGTGTTTGAGTGATAGCTTGTGGAGGTCGCGGTGGAGCGTGGCGGCGGAGAAGATGAGGTTGTGTACGTTGCCTAAAAGAGGGAGTGTCCATGGGCCTGGTGGGTGGTGGTTCTTGTTCTTGAGATTTGGAGGTTTTGTAGTGGTGGTGGTGGTGGTGGTGGTGGATGATCTCTTTGCTGCTGCGAAGAAGAAGAAGAAGAGCAAGAGAAGTGAAGCTATGAGGGTAATGGTATCGAAGTTATAATTGGGAGACTCCATGGATGAATGATTGTGATTATATGGAGGTTTAGTGTGAGAAGGGATGGTGTAAGTAGTGGATTTGGAGCAGCTCCCGGGTCTTGTTTATATATGGACGTTAGGGAGTGTGGAAATGTACATTATCAGAATTTATTATAAATAAATGAATAGTGTAATCTTAGATTAAGTCTCTTGTCCATGAACATGAGGTTAATGCATATATATGCTCGATGTATTCAAAGTTAGGTTAGGAATTCTTTTTATTTATTTATTAAGGTTAGGAATTCATTTTCAATACCGTTTTTGGCTGTCCGCTGTTGAACATAAATAATTTGCAATTCAACACATGGAATGGAATGAGGCAACATTTATGTCCGGCCAACCGCCAACGGCCTCGTGCATGGTGGTAGCCGGTAGGGATTGGCAGGTGTGATTACATTTAAGGAAGGAGAGAGTCATTATCGTCTCATAAATTAGGGAATTAAGGAGGTGATGTGGGCAAGGACTGAATTTCCTAACGTTCATCTTCCTTCCATACATGTTGGATTGGGAGCCCATCTGCCTCCACTTGAGGATGTGAAAATTTTACACTAGCTACAAATTTGTCGTTTAGTGTCACTTTCCTGGTTCACACTTCACCGGGAGTAGCTTCACGTACTTGGGTAAAAACATTAAGAAGTTTCTTAAGTCGTGGTAATTTTATGACAAATCTTATGGCTATTACGAGGAGGTGAAATTTTTGGGTTGGGTTAAGGTGTTAAGACGGTTATGGTGCTAATAGGATTATTTCCAGCCAATAGAAAATTTTGTTTTACTATTTTTTTAATATTTAAGGAGTTAACCATAATTAATGCTGAATTTTACAGAGAGGAGCATGCTTGTCATTTTTAAAAATTATAGGCAAAAAAGGGGGAAAATTAAAAAGACAAATGGTAATAGGTGGAAAAATGATTTTTTTAAGTTGGTATGCTGACTTGGCAATGACATGGCGGGTTGACCATTAGTCAATGGTATTGACCATCCAACACAATGGTCAACTCTCGGATTTGGTCAATTTCGTAAATTTGATGCATAATTAAGGCCATGAAGTTATAGATGGAAAAGATTGGCCAAGATGTTGAATAAGTGTAAAGGTCAGGTCAGGCGAAAATATTAGCCCTACATCAAACCAAAATAGTTTATTGTACTACAGTTTACGGACGTATTCTACATTTGGCGTGCTTTATTAAACTTACATGTGACGTACTTTATTAAACTTGGGGTATGCTTATGAGGTTCTTTGTCTACTTCAGGAAAATTGTGGTATGTTTTAAGAAACTGGTGATGTATGCTTGAGGGAAAATTCAATCGCTATTCGTCGCCCTAAAATTTAAATTTTGTCGCCCTAAAATGCACTAAATTGACACTATTACTCCTAGTCCCAATTTCATTAAACAAAAAAATATCCTTTCCCCTGCCCAACCGTCATCGAGGTCCTACGTTCTCTGTCCGCTGCTGCCGTTGCGGGATTCTTATCTCTGGCTCGTCTTGGAGGAAGACCACCAAGACCAAGTGTGCGATGCTAAAGTTGTTCAGAGCCAACATCTAGACTGCTTCAAGACGTATTCGGGGCGGGATCAAGCTCACGTGATATTGACGGAGAACAATGGGATTGCGTCCAGGGAAAGGTACGCGAACGCCATGGGCTTCTCCAAGGAAGGAACCGTAGCTGGTTGTTCCCAGCTGTTTAGCCTTTCCCAAGACAACGATGATTAGAGGCCTTTCCCAGGACAACGATGATTAGAGGTTGAGGCTGATGGTGTTTAGAGTGAAATAACAAGGTCGCTTGCCTCTGTTGAGTTTATTATATTATATAATATTATATTAGTTGGGGAAATCTGGATGTAGAATGGAGCCAAGTTGTGGTAAGGGAATTCTCGTCGTCGCCAGAGCTCGAAATCATGGCGCTGGCGGAACTGGGAAATTAGGGACGATATGAATTTGTTTTGACTTTTGAGTTTAAGTGATTGAGAGATAGATAAGTGATTTAAGGGTATTAGAGTATATTTATCTTAATTAGAGCGACGAATAATGAATTTTAGGACGACGAATAACCAATGTTCTAGAAGACGCTAGGCACTATCTAGGCGAGGAGGCACCGCCCAGCGTCCAGGCCTATTAGTCGTTGCCTAGGCGAGATTAAACGTTGAAAAAAAATGATAAATACGCCATATTCCACAAAACCCAAGTCGTCATATTATTATTCATCTATTCATATACACATACAGCCCTATTCCACAATCCCAAACATCCCAAGTCGCCAACCATGAGGAGGGATCTCACTACTGGTCGATGAGGGGGAGTGGTTGGTCGAATGAAAATGGGAAATATAATACTAAAATAGGGTTTGGGATTTTCACAAAAAGGCTACACTTTCCCTCTTTATTAGTTGTTTTGGGCATCGCCTACCAAAGTGAAAACGCGTGCCTAGATCAATCGCCCAGAACTAGACGGAGCGATTTCCTCCAGCCCAGCTATTAATCGCGTCTTCTTGAACACTACTCAATAGCAATGCCCGAGGAAAATAGGAAAATTTGGTATGTATGCGTTCAAAAGAGTGGTTCACCCGGCCAACCCGCTACCATCAGAAGGCGCGTGGGTGGGAGTCGGACAGAGTCCGGATCTGGTGACTAAGGGGGGGTGCTTAGTCACTTGGCTAAGCCCCCCTTAGCCTTTAGATTAATCTAATGGTCCAGATAAAGTGTTCAATTATTATTAAATGAAAAGGGTAGTTTTGGCATTATCATAAATTCATTAATTTTTAATTCCAGTTTTATTTTATTTTTTTCCTTCCTCTCCAACCGTCTCCTTCTTTCACGTTCACAAAGAGAGAGAGAGAGAGGGGATGGAGATGCGCGATTTCAACGGCGACGGTGAGAGAAGGCCCGACGGCGACGATGGAGAAAGAAAGAAGATCTCGACGGCGTTGATGGAGAGAGGAAAAGGCGTCGCGACGGAGGCGGTATCATTGGAGAGAGAGAAAGTAGATCTAGAGAGAGGCGATGGCGGAGAGAGAGAGGCGATGGCGGAGAGAGCTTCGACGACGATGGAGGAGAGAGAAGCAGAGCGGTGATGGAGAGAGAGAGGTAACGACGGCTGTAGAGAGAGTCGGCGGCGTCGTCGGCGGCGGCGGCGGTGGAGAGACATCGTCTGAAGGAAGAACAGTGATTTGTATAGTTTGTATGTTTTGTAACATTAGTTTGTATTGTTAGTATTTTTGTACAAAATGTAAGTATGGTTTGTATAGTTTGTATGTTTTGTAATATTAATTTGTATACTTTATATGTATTGATTTGTGATTCAAAAAACATTACAAACATATTTGACAAAAATGACAAACATGTGGACAAAAATAACAAACATTACAAACAATACAAAAGAAACCAACAAACATTACAAACATTACAAAATAACAAACATTACAAAGCATACTACACGTACTGAATATCACTACTTACAATACAGATTGGTAAACTTGTATTACAAACAAATGAATACAAAGTATACAAATCATAACATAAAAGTATACAAACTTGAATAACAAAAGTTACAAATACAAACCAATGAATAGAAAGTGTATAAATCATAACATAAAGTATACAAATTAGACAAACAAACATTACAAACATTACAATGTATACAAAATATTACAAAGCATTACAAACAAACATTACAAAGCATACTACACGTACAGAATATCACTACATTACAAAACATTACAAAAATAACAAACATTACAAACAATACAAAAGAAATCAACAAACATTACAAACATTACAAACATTGCAAACAAACATTACAAACATTACAAACAAACATTACAAAGCATACTACACGTACAGAATATCACTACTTACAATACAGATTGGTAAACTTGTATTACAAACAAATGAATACAAAGTATACAAATCATAACATAAAAGTATACAAACTTGAATAACAAAAGTTACAAATACAAATCAGTGAATAGAAAGTGTATAAATCATAACATAAAGTATACAAACTAGACAAACAAACATTACAAAGTATACAAAATAGTAATATAAACATTACAAACATCACGAACTCAATACTGTTGCCGGAAAATCATCCACCACCGTCTCTGGTCGCCGGAAAACTGCTCCGCCGTCGCCGGAAAAGTTGACAAGAACTCTCTCTCTCTCTCTCTCTCTCTCTCTCTCTCTCTCTCTCTCTCTCTCTCTCTCTCTCTCTCTCTCTCTCTCTCTCTCTCTCTCTCTCCAGGGAGCCAAATAATTCCAATGGCAGGTCTCTTGGGATATATTCTCAAAGGAAGGGGAATTATGGCGCCGTCCCAAATTGGCGCCGTCCCGGGAAAAATGGGCCGCCGGCGAATTACACGCCACAGGAGTGAAGGATCGGCCGGCGGGAAGGTTCGGAAGTCTCTGGGAAAAAAACCAGGCCGCGCGGAGAAGGGAAAGGATAGGGGCTGAATATTTATTTATTTTAATTGGTAAATAAAAATTAAATAATTAAATTACTACATTGCCCTTCATTAAATTGGATTAATCAGGACCATTGAATTTTAATGAGATGGAAGGGCTGAGATTCACTTAGTCACATGACTAAGGGACCCCCTCTTAGTCACCTGATCTTAGCCCGAGTCGGACATATCCGACGCAGACACAAGAAAGCTGACGTGGCTCGATCACAACCCTCGACGAATCTGAAAAGAGTAACTGGGTACTGGGAAATCTTCAATCCAATCTTCCCTCTTATCCGATTACCCCACTCACAACAATTCACTCTCGCGAAGGGGTTCAAAACTTCAAATAGCATAAACCCGCCGGCGTAGCACCGCCCGCCGTTCCTTCCGCATTTCGTCGGTAAAACTCAGTTACTCCGACCACCAGAAAAATGAAGCTCACGTATCCAAACAGGTAAGTCCCAATTTCCGCATTTCCCAAACCAAATTACTCTTCTCCTCTTTAACTACACCCTGATTTCTTCTCCTTCTCGGCTATAGCGGCGGCGGTCCGTCAGTTGCGTGGAGGAGCTCTTCCATCGTATCCATCCAGCTAGGGTTTTGCTTCTCCAACAATTTCAATGGAGTTTTGATTCCTCCCGCCTCTACACACTACCTGCCCCGCCGGAATTTGCGCATTTCATGCTCCTCCCCATCTTCTTCACCTGGTACATCTCCGCCTCCATTCATTGTTTGAATGTTCCGACTCTCATGTTTCCACGCTGTAATTCCTACATATAGCAAGCTTACGAATTGATCATTGCCCGTGGCTACTACTGTTGTTATCTTTTGATTGAACTCGTATTCATTCAGATCCTCTCTTGGTTAAGGCTGCAAGGGGTGAAGCTGTGTCGAGGCCTCCAGCATGGATGATGCGCCAGGCTGGGAGGTATATGGCTGTGTACAGAAAGCTAGCCGAGAAATACCCATCCTTCAGAGAGAGGTCGGAGACAACTGAACTCATTGTGGAAATTTCTTTGCAGCCCTGGGAAGCTTTCCGCCCAGATGGTGTCATTATTTTCTCTGACATACTTACTCCGCTACCGGCATTTGGTGTGTCATTTGACATAGAAGACGTGAGGGGTCCTGTTATTCAGTCTCCGATTCGTTCCGAGGAGCATTTGAAGACCTTGCATCCTATTGAACTTGAGAAGCTACAGTTCGTTGGGGACTCGCTTAGATTACTTCGCAATGAGGTAGCCTAGTGCTTGTGATAGGATATAGGAAATGATCCACTGAAAAGAGCATTACTCGTTTTCTTTCCGGAACCTCATAGATGTGCTATTTTCGTCTTAGGTTGAAGGGAAAGCAGCTGTTCTGGGTTTTGTGGGATCACCTTGGACAATTGGTACCTATATAGTGGAAGGGGGTACGACTCGCACGTATACAGCAATAAAGAGCATGTGTCATACAGCACCACATGTACTGAGTACTCTCCTTGCTCATTTGACCAAGGCAATCGCTGATTATGCTGTTTATCAAGTGGAGTCGGGGGCTCATTGCATTCAGATATTTGATTCTTGGGGTGGCCAACTATCTCCTGCTATGTGGGAGATCTGGTCAAAACCTTTCATCAAAGAGGTTTGCAAATCCATTCTCACCTTGCAATCATGTTGCAGCTCTCCACCAAATGCATCATCAAGTACTGAGCTTTTGGCAACCAGCCGTTTTGGACTTTCATCATCATGTTGCATTACATTTTCTGTTGCTGCTATCTCGTTATATCCTGCTCTTGACTTTCTTGAATTATAAAAAACTTAAAAAAGAAAAAAGGGTGCTTGAGGATTATATACCCCATGTTTGATTTTTGACAAACACTTTTTTTTTTTTACGAGAAGACAAAAACATGTCAGGGTTAGCTTACCTTCTGAAAGCTTGAAAACTAATGAACATCAGTGTCTGGATTTTAATGTTGTATCACCGTTGTGAAATTGCAGATAGTCAGTACAGTCAAGAGCAAATGTCCTGGCACACCCCTTGTTCTTTACATCAATGGAAATGGTGGCCTGCTTGAGCGGATGAAAGATATTGGAGTTGATGTGATTGGACTTGACTGGACAGTGGACATGGCAGATGGTAGGAAGCGTCTGGGGAATGGAATGAGCGTACAAGGAAATGTCGACCCTGCTTACTTATTTTTGCCGCTCCCTGCTATTACTGATGAAATTCACAGGTTTGTGATCAATTAGGAAATTAGCTATACCATGCTCTAAATTATACCTTTTATGTGCTGGTTTATCATTTGATGAGGATGATGTGTTTGATCCTCAGTTTTGGTTGACCAACTCATCTCTAATTCCAACTATAATGTGCATCATTGCATTTGTCAAGAATTGTAGAAGCTCACCAGTAGCAAAAGGAGAAAAAAAGGAAGTAATTTCTGATTTGTGAACGGGTTTGAGCCAAGTGATTAGCTGACTGCATTTGATTTGCCCACCATGGCTAGGAAGATCAAATGTTCATGAATGATAACTACTACACTAGTTGTCTCTGTATCCAATCTAGTTTGGTTCTTGAAATTAATTTTCGACTTGAAGACAACTATATTGCCCTTTTGCTGCATGTATAATCATATAAAATGCCTGTTTTTTTTTTTATAAGTCTGACTGATTTATCTTCGTTTGATCAGAGTGGTTAACTGCGCTGGACCAAGAGGGCACATTCTGAACCTTGGACATGGTGTTCTTGTTGGGACGCCTGAAGAAGCCGTTGCACATTTCTTCGATGTTAGTAAAAGCCTGAACTTTTCTGCACCTATAGAAGATCACCGTGTGGCTGCAGCGACCTAGTTAGAGTGCACGAGCTCAAGATCATCCCTGCAAACCTCCTCTCTTCTGTCTATACTGGAACATGGTGTAAGTCATCTCCTTGCTTCTTTAGTTCTTTCATTCTCTCGTTGGGCTCTTGCTCATTTTTTCGTGAAAGTAGAGCGACTATAGCTGTGGCCCGAACTCTGTGTAATTGCTTCTTTAATTCAGTGTCATATGTAGTTACTGTTGGCTTTTTTGGAGTGGAACATCCCAAAGTTGAACACCATTTAACCATCCGAATTGATTCTTTTTATCTACTGCCACACTATAGCTCAATGATGGCAACAATACCAGCTCACGTCACGGCACTCTCCGTGGCCAACCAAACAAACAGTATGGTCCATTTTTTCCTCTTTGGAAAGGTCATCAGCCTTGCAGGGCAAGCAAGTCAGTAAGCACGGAAGTCCACACATAATGGATGATGTGATGAGTTTGTTTGATTCGTTTCTTAATAATTAATAAAGCAAGTCAAGCAAAGTGGTAAAAGGAAGTAAAGAAATGGAAATCAGCTGCCTCCCATAGTCTCATTTGGTAGACTCACGTTCCCTTCCACTCGCTTATAGTTATAGACATCGACGGATTATTGTTTTCCAGCGAGAAAATTTTACGTTCGAAATTAATGTTTTCCGGCGAGAAAAATGACCTACTTAATTTATGTCATACTAAATTATTGATTAACGGATCATTTTCGTTTTTCCACCCACTTTTATATTATTGCTAAATAAGACAATATTTTTAGTCCCATTGTTACAAATAGACTGTAATCTTGCTACTCTAAACCATTTAATAAATGGATGCAGATTTTCCTAAAAAAAGATTTTATGTTACAACTTACAAGTCTACAATCTAATTCCTAGCTGGAGTCCCATAGATTAGGAAATAATTTCACAAAGACCATAAAAAGCTATTAATTAATTAATTACAATTTTTATCACAAAATCCCACAATCAAGAAACAAATCCACCATCTCTATTATTTAATCAGTCCCCATTTTTTCGGTTATAGCAAAATATACCCCTGGCCCAGACTGGCAGACTCCACTGATTGTTTCAAAACAGGAAAGTACTGCTGTGCTGCCACTTCCTTCCTTCCTTCTTCCCAAAATTAGCCTCTGTCCGTCTGTGAGACTGTGACCCTGACGGCCATTTCCCGCCAATCTGCTAAATGGCAGTGTCACTATTTCCGTCTCTACTAGGAAGGAAATCATTGCCCTCCACGCTTCCACTGAGGACGAGAAGAGAAGAGTCCACTCTTTTGACTGGCCCTCTCTTCCCAACTCGTGGGCTCTCTCCTTTTTCTCTGTGGTCTACATACTCTGTTCTATAAAAACAGACAATGCCGCTCACCCCTCCTCTTCCAAAGTCCCGTAGATAGAAAACTTACCGAAACCCATTTGAGGGGAAGAGCTCAGCTCAGTCATGGAAAGTTTTGATTCAACAAAGCAAGGTTCTCTAGCCTCTCTTCTCTCTACCTACTCATCATCGTCAGGTGCCAATGAGTTGTTTCTTCTGAGACCCATTTTCCTACATGGGCTTTCCGGTTCATTGCACCTGGTTTTGTTGCTAGTGTTTTTCCTCTCGTTCCTAAGGTACAGATTCAGGGTTGGTAGTGATGCTGATGACGGCGCCAAGGAAGGCTCGTCAGGTAAGCACAGAAGGTGTTTGTGCTATAACCTGACCGTGCTCTGTTCCCTTGGTGTTTCGTTGTTCAATCTCGCGTTTTGTCTATTCAGCTACTTCTATTGGTATAGGAATGGGTGGTCTGATGATGATGAGTTTTTGACCCTATTGGATTTGGTTCTTAGAACTTGTTCTTGGGGTGCGCTTAGTGTTTTTCTGCACACCCAATTTGCAAATTCTGCCGAGACTAAGTTCCCATTTCCCTTGAGGGTCTGGTGGGGGTTTTACCTCGGAATCTCCTTTTATTGCCTTGTTGTGGACCTTCTTCTCTACAACAATCTCCAATCCTATTCCCAGATTCCACGTTTGGTTTCTGATGCAGTCTCTGTGGTCGTTGGTCTGTTTCTCTGTTACGTCGGATTCTTCAGAAACACGAGGGAGAAGAATACACTTCTGGGAGAGCCTCTCTTGGGTCAAGAGTCTAGCTTAAAACTTTCCAGAGCGGATGCCACTGCCACTCCTTATTCGGATGCTGGTGTTCTGGGTCTTTTGTCTTTCTCTTGGATGGGTTCTCTGATTGCTCTTGGCAATAAGAAAGCTCTAGACCTTGAGGATGTTCCTCAGCTTTATAAAGATGATAGTGTTGTTCAGGCATTCGCATCTCTTAAGCAGAGGATTGAATCGGATGGGGGCTCTGCTAGTGAAGTTACAGCATTCAAGCTTGCAAAGGCATTGCTCTTTACAGCTTGGAAAGAGATCCTATTGACGGCTTTTCAAGCCCTGTTGTACACAGGAGCATCTTATGTCGGTCCATATCTCATAGATGCTTTTGTTCAATGCCTAAGTGGGCAAGAGGAGTACAGGAATCAAGGATATGTCCTGGCTTCTGTGTTCTTGGTTGGCAAGATTGTCGAGTGCATCACGCAAAGGCTATGGTTCTTTAAGTTGCAACAAATTGGCATGCGATGGCGCGCAGCAGTAGTTGCAATGATCTACAACAAAGGGTTGACTCTCTCCTGTCAGTCCAAGCAGGGCCAAACTAGTGGAGAAATCATCAACATCATGACAGTGGATGCTCAAAGATTCGGTGACTTCTCTTGGTACATTCATGATACATGGCTGGTTTTTTTACAAGTCGGTCTAGCCTTGTACATACTGTACAGGAATTTGGGGCTTGCTTCTATAGCAACTCTCGTTGCCACTATAATGGTGATGTTGCTGAATTTTCCTTTGGGGAGATTGCAAGAGGGATACCAGGAGAAGCTGATGAAGTCGAAAGACAATAGAATGAGAGCAACGTCTGAGATTTTGAGGAACATGAGAATTCTGAAGCTGCAGGCTTGGGAGATGAAGTTTCTGTCCAAGATTATTGAGCTGCGGAAGATAGAGACGATATGGTTGAAAAGCTATGGTTACGCTGCAGCTTTTATTAGCTTTGTTTTCTGGGGTGCCCCTACCTTTGTCTCAGTTGTCACCTTTGGTACATGCTTGCTTTTGGGCATCCCACTGGAGTCTGGGAAAATCTTATCAGCCCTTGCAACCTTTCGGGTTCTTCAAGAACCCATCTACAGTCTTCCTGACACCGTCTCCATAGTGGTTCAGATGAAGGTTTCGCTTGACAGAATTGTAGCTTTCTTGCGCCTCGATGATTTACCGGATGATGTAGTGAAGAGGATTCCAAGAGAAGCTTCTGATACTGCTATTGAAGTTGTTGATGGGAGTTTCTCTTGGGATTCATCTTCACTAAACCCCACACTGAGAGATGTAAATCTGAAGGTGTACCGTGGGATGAAGGTTGCTGTTTGTGGTACTGTTGGTTCAGGCAAATCAAGCTTGCTCTCCTGCATTTTGGGAGAGGTTCCGAAGATCTCTGGCACCATCGAGCTGTGTGGGACAAAGGCTTACGTTTCTCAGTCACCTTGGATACAGAGTGGCAAGATTCAGGATAACATTTTGTTTGGCCAGGGGATGGACAAAGAAAAGTACGACCAAGTACTGGAAGCTTGTGCACTGAAGAAGGACCTGGAGATGTTTTCATTTGGTGATCAAACAGGGATTGGTGAGAGAGGTATCAATTTGAGTGGAGGACAGAAGCAGAGAATTCAGATTGCTCGTGCCCTCTACCAAGATGCCGACATATACCTGTTTGATGATCCTTTCAGTGCAGTGGATGCTCATACTGGATCTCATTTGTTTAAGGTGGATTAAGCACGTGTTTCTCTTTTGTTCTTATTCATTCGTTCTTCAATGGAACTTATGTTCTTTCTATTTGTGTTGCAACAGGAAGTCTTGCTGGGTCATCTGAGTTCCAAAACTGTGGTTTATGTCACTCATCAAGTTGAATTCTTACCTGCTGCAGATCTTATTTTGGTGAGTGACAAGTATATTGATGATATTTTCCCTGTTTGATTATGTAATGTTTCTTCAAATTATGAAAGAAGGGAAGACTCAAATTGCAATTGTAACTTCTGGTGGTAGGTATTGAAAGATGGAAGGATAACACAGGCTGGAAAGTACAGTGACATTCTCAACTCAGGATCTGATTTCATGGAACTTGTTGGTGCACATAAGGCCGCTTTATCTGTGATAGATTCCAAAGCTTCAAAATCTGAGAATGGAAGTATCATCAGTAAAGAAACTGGCGACATGGGCAATAGAAATGGAATTGAGCCGAAAGATGGAGACAAGATATTGCAAAATGGTAAAGAAGACGAGACAGGCAAGCCACAGGGTCAGCTTGTTCAAGAAGAAGAGAGGGAGAAAGGAAGAGTTGGAATTTCAGTCTACTGGCAGTATCTCACCACAGCATATGGAGGAGCTCTTGCACCACTTGCAGTGCTTGCACATACAATGTTTCAAATCCTCCAGATTAGCAGCAACTATTGGATGGCTTGGGCAACTCCAGTATCAAAGGATGAGGAGCCTCCTGTTCCTCCAATGACACTGATAGCTGTATATGTAGTTTTGGCTGTTGCAAGCTCTCTTTGCATCCTAGGCAGAACCACTCTCCTTGCAACCATAGCTTACAAGACCGCAACCCTGCTCTTCGACAAGATGCATTTGTCCATTTTCCGTGCTCCCATGTCGTTTTTTGACTCGACACCTAGTGGAAGGATACTCAATCGGGTAAATCAGTGACTGCATAACCAAAAACCATGCAATAATTTTGATCTTTTACCCGAAACTAATTGCTTTATAATGCTTTTTTCACAGGCTTCCACTGATCAAAGTTCTGTGGATCAGCAAATTCCTTACCAACTTGGGGCAACTGTCTATTCAATGATCCAGCTTCTGGGAATTATTATAGTGATGTCTCAAGTGGCGTGGCAAGTTCTTATTATTTTTATTCCAGTTATTGCTATCAGCATCTGGATTCAGGTAGCCTTTATGTTTATCTCTTAAGCATTCTTTCTTGATCGAATTGTGTTAATCTTGTACAAAGTTAAATGTTATTTCACTATTTTGCTTATGTGCAGCAATACTACATACCAGCAGCTAGAGAACTTTCGCGGCTGGTTGGAGTATGCAAAGCTCCTGTGATCCAGCATTTTGCTGAAACAATTTCAGGCACAAGCACCATAAGGAGCTTTGATCAACAACCAAGATTCAAAGAGATCTCTATGAAACTTACAGATGCATATTCCCGCCCCAAGTTTCATACTGCTGGAGCAACGGAATGGCTTTGCTTTCGTTTGGACTTTTTCTCTTCTATTACGTTTGCCTTCTCTTTGTTTTTCTTGATCTCTTTCCCTGGAATAGATCCATGTAAGTACATTCTCTCTTCATCTTCCCTTTGTTATTATATTTTGTCATAAAAAGCATAACCATTGAAGCTGAGATGTTGCGTTGTCTTTTGGT